TAGTGACATGAAAGAAAGATGGGGTCCATGTGCTGTGGCTCGTGCCTGTAATCCCAGCACTTTTGGGCGGCTGAGGCTGGAAGATATCTTGAGTCCAGGAGTTCAAGGCCAGCCTGGGCAATATGGCGAAATCTAATCTGTATTGAAAAAATAAAAATAAAACATAGCAGGGCATGGTGGTGCATGCCTGTGATCCCAGCTATTCGGGAGGCTGAGGCGGGAAGATTACTTGAGCCAGGGAGATTGAAGCTTCTGTGAGCCATGATCATGTCACTGCATTCCAGCAAATTAAAACAGCTTAAAAATTTTTTTAGCCTTGACTTGAAACTCAGAGACCTTGAGAAAAAAGAAAGAAGGAAAGAAAGAAAGGAAGAAGGAAGGAAGGAAGGAAAGAAAGAAAGAAAGAAAGAGAGAAAGAAGAAAAGATGGGACCATTGGTTGCCATGGACACTGTTTCCACAGCTACTTGGCTGTTTTGATTGCCATCGCACATTGTTTGAAGGACTCTGCTATGAGAAAAATGTAACTATTTCTCAATTTAACCATGATAGACAATAAATAGATAAAATAAGGTTGAGACAGATTAAATAAACTATTAAGGGGAAGAACAAGACTAGAACCCAGGTTTTCTGGCTTCTTATCTGGTGTCTGTTTTCACTCTGAAACTCACTTAGGGTCACAGAATCACTGACTCACAGATGCAGTGTGACAAAGATAATCAGAAACCAAGTCACCGTAACAAAAGCCCCCTAAAGGCAGGACACCAGCTCACTGCTGTATCCTCAGTGTTGACGTCAGTGTGCTTGTCCAATAATCTGCACTTAATAAATGTGAGTAGAATGAGTGAATTAATTAATTAATGGTATAGTTGTTTATAAGTGAGGGAACAAGCATCTGGAAATGTTAAGTGAATCACTGAAAGTCATTTGTGTGTGTGTGTGTGTGTGTGTGTGTGTGTGTGTATGTATAAATACAGACAGGGTCTCGCTATGTTACCCAGGCTGGTATCCAACTCCTGAGCTCAAACAATCCACTTGCCTCGGCCTCCCAAAGTGCTGGGATTACTGGCATGAGCCACCTCACCCAGTAGAAAGTCATTTATATTTTATAGATTATAAGACATATATTTATTTTCACGTTTATCATCTCTCAAACAGGGATGCATCTTACAATCAATGGCATGTCATAGTTTAATTCGCTGTGTTTTTCTCTTAGTGATGCATGAAATAATGGTATGTTTTCCATGAAATAATGGTATGTTTTCCAGCAACGGAGCCTTAGATGCAATGAGGAACGGCAGTTGTTTGTGGATATATGTTGTGTCTCATGCCAGTGAGTGCAAGGAAAGGGGAGGAGGGGGTGACCCCATGGGATGCAACACAAGTCAACTTCTCCAGGCCCTCGGAAGTGACACTCAATCTCCTGAGAGGTGCCCATCTCGCAGAGGGCCACTACCCAGTCATTGCCACTAGGGGGCTTACCAGATATTTCATCAGGAAGACACAGGCAGTCCTGGGGCCTCTCTTCCGAGCAGGCCATTTGTTGCCATGGATATTGTTTCCATAGTTGCTTTGACTGTCACTGCATTTCCCCTCATTATCTGTTTTTGCATGCTGAATATATATTATAATCCAATCTTCATACTCATCAATTTAACAATTTTATCATATCTAGATTTTTCTAATGGCCAGTTTTCATCAATTGTGACGTTCATGGCATTTGACTTTATTAGTGACTTCTGTTTTTTAAAAACATTTGCAGTCCCTGTGTTCCAGTATACAATACTGCATTATACCTCAGCTCACTTCACAAATTGGATATCCACTGCAAGCAACTAAGCACAAGTAGTGAATACTAATCCAAATGAAAGAATGGGTCTGTTGTGGTGTCAGCGCAAGAGAAAATTCCTCTGCTCCATGGTGCATTAATAGTAGCTCATTTTGCTTGCTGCCCCATTGGATTACATTGTTGGTGGTAAATATCACTGCTGAAAGCTCCATGAATTTCTTAAAGGTCTCCAAAGAAGGTGTGGAACATTGAAGCATTTCACGACGGTTGCATGTACATGACAGCAATATTCATTTGCTTCTGCCAGGCACCTTGAAGGCAAAAGCTATTTACATGGCTCTCCACTATGTCCTCAGAGCCATGCACAGGCTTATATGTTCTCGGCAAAGATGTGATGGATGATCAAAGGAATCATCCATGCCACCTCCTTTCATGGGTAGAAGGTAGAAGCTGAAGAAGTCTTCTGGGTATAGAAACTCACGAATACCTCGAAGCCAACTTGGTTCAGGGCTGCTGCCTAAAAAACTCTGGGTAAGGTCCTGAGTTGAAAATAAAACATCTCTGCTTGTGTTCAATTTTCAAATTCTTTCGAGGGTGAGGCCTGAGAAGTTGCAAACATTTTAAAAAGCAGAACTCACTAGTAAAGGCAAATAAATGCCATAAATGTCAAAACTGATGACACGTTCCCTACCATCCATCGCACACACAAGAATGTATTTTCTGTATATCTGCGACTTGTTTTCGGACTGGGGGCTCCTCAAGAATAGGGACTGTGTCTGGTTTTTCTTGCTTGGTTCAAAACCCAATACAGTTTGAAGGAAAGATCTGAGAGCCTGCCATTGCAAGCCTAAAGAAGAGAAGACTGAAGGATAAAAGTTCACACCTATGAATGATTTTTATAAAGACAGTGCAGAGCAGTTCATCACTTGAGATTCAGCCCAAATGAGATAAAAAGTGAGTGATCCTGGACCAGGAAACCTGAGTTTACCCTCAGCCCCCCCCACCCCTCCCTGCCACTTACCGTTAAGGAGGTTTGGGGACAATTTATTTGACTTCTCTGAACTTCAGTCTTTGCATTTCTAAGACAGGATGGTTTTCCTACCTCACAGACGTAATGTGAAGATCAAAAGAAACCACATATATGACAGCAGCGCAAAGTGCCCCACAAATATGTCATAAGTCTCAGGTCGGTTACCCCATCCCTTGGGAAGCCTTCCAGGATCTGCACAGGCTGAACGAGATCCCTTCTCTGGGCTCTTCCCCAAAGCATTCCTTTATTATAGCACTTAGCATGTTGCACTGTAATTGCTAGTTTTCTTGTCCTTGAGGGCAAGAACTACATCATTCACTTCTGTTAGTCTGCTGTCTCTGTTCCCAAAAGAATTCCCAGCACATACTAGACAGTTACTAAAGGAATCCTAGGCCAGGTGTGGTGACTCATGCCTGTAATCCCAGCACTCTGGGAGGCCGAGGTGGGTGGATCACAAGGTCAGGTGTTCGAGACCAGCCTGGCCAACATAGTGAAACCCCGTCTCTACTAAAAATACAAAAATTAGCCAGGTGTGGTGGCACACGTATGTAGTCCCAGCTACTCAGGAGGCTGAGGCAGGAGAATTGCTTGAGCCCGGGAGGTGGAGGTTGTGGTGAGCTGAGACCACACCATTGCACTCCAGCCTGGGTGACAGAGTGAAACTCTGTCTCAAAAAAAAAAAAGAATCCTGATTTCTTTGTGCTTACCAAGAAGATCAAAACAGAATAAATAGCACCAAAAGAAAGCATACATTTATTCATTTATTCCAAAATGTGTATTTCATCCCATCTAAGATGACATTGAATGCAAGATGCACCATTACTTATGCCCCACTAAGGAAGAAAGCGTGCTACCGACTAGTTCATGATGTGCTATCAAGTGTAAGACACATTTCCATTTTTAAACGTTTCTTGTTTTTTTGTTTTTTGTTTTTTGTTTTTAGACAGTGTCTCATGATGTTGCCCAGGCAGGTCTCTAACTCCTAGCTCTGGGCAATCTTCCTACCTTGTCCTCCAAAAGTGCTGGGATTACAGGCCTGAACCACTGCATCCAGTGGACATCTCCATTTTATTTTTATTTTTTTGAGACAGCGTCTCACTCTGTCACCTAGGCTGGGGTGCAGTGGCATGATCTTGGCTCATTGCAACCACTGCCTCCCAGGTTCAAGTGATTCTCCTGCCTCAGCCTCCCAAGTAGCTGGGATTGCAGGTGTGTGCCAAGACACCTGGCTAATTTTTAATAGAGACAAGGGGTTTCACTATGTTGGCCAGACTGGTCTCAAACTCCTGACCTCAAGTGATCCACCCGCCTCAGCCTCCCAAAGTGCTGGGATTACAGGCGTGAGCCACCGTGCCTGGCTGACATCTCCATTTTAGATTATGATCCAATGGGGGAGATGCGCATTGTAGAATCAATGAAGCACATGATTATTAAATACCTACTCTATCTCATATATCGTCCTCAAAACCCCTATTCTCAAGGAACTGACATTCTAGTGGAAGGAGGCAGACATAAAACAAATAAGTTAACATGTAAATAAGCATAAGTTCAGCTTGTCATCAGCTCCATAAAGAAAATAAATATGGTAATCTGTAGAGACCGAAGAGAGGGGTTTGTTTTAGATAAATCACAAGAAAGGTCCTGAATAGACCTGAAAAATGGCTACGTGTTTTCTAAGGTATCAAACAATACCTCGCTAAGGGAGAGTGCTGAATCACTGTTGCTTCACCAAACATTCTTGTTTAGAAAGACAGGGGACTGGACCAGAATGTGCATTCACAGACATTTTCAATGAGAAGTGACACTCCCCAAAAGGCATAAATCCTGTTCAGGCACACTCTAGAGGGGTGTGCTTGCTTGCCTGGTGTCCTCAATCAGAACATATGCAAGTTGGGTTCAGCTGGACCTGGTATGACTCCTTGATGACACTGAAGAGGTCCTTTAAACACTAGACTCTAGAAAGAGAAAAGGAGGATTAGCTGAGTGGGGCTGATGAACTGTATGCATTTACCAAAGGCGTGGAATGCACAGACACGTGTGACAACATACAAGTGTCATCTGAGTATGAGCGTATTATGATTTGGGAGTCAACTACCAAATCTTGTAGTTCAGGGTCCCAGGAATGGTTAGAAACGTATTTCCCTTGTTCGTTCAGGCTTCTTTTTTTTTTTTTTTTTTTTTTCTTCTGGGTGTTTCTGCAGCATCTTCTCCTTGTCTTTTCTATCTTCAATACGCTCCAGAGACCAGATCCTCATGTATATCTCTCTGGGCCCTCAAATGCCAAAACCATACTCTCCTTCCCGGTAGCACCCCAAGGGGGTGGCCTCATTCTGGAGAAAGCTACACGGCAAGTTGAAGGAGACTGACTGGGTAAAGCCCGCGTGCCGCTGGCAGAACTGCTGCCACAAAGGGACATGTGTGTCTTGGGAATAATTAGTAGAGGCCAGTTGCTATTGACTTTAAGGATGTTCCTTATACCTTGATCCTATGTACAACTCTGGAATCTTTGGAGAGCAGCAAAAAAGACTGAGATTGAATTTCCCTCTAATCTGACAGGAGCAGAAATTAACATTTTCTTTCTTTTATTTTTCTTTTTGAGGCAGGGTCTCTCTCTGTTGCCCAAGCTGGAAGGCAGTGACACGATCACAGCTCACTGCTGCCTCGACCTCCTGGGCTCATAGTTCTCTCTGTTGCCTGCTGGAAGGCAGTGACACGATCACAGCTCACTGCTGCCTCGACCTCCTGGGCTCAAGCGATCCTCTCACCTCAGCCTCTCAAGTAGCTGGGACTACAGACATACACTACCATGGCTGGCTAATTTTTTATTTTTTTGTAGAGATGAGGTCTCACTATGTTGCCCAGGCTGGTCTTGAACTCCAGGCCTCACGCAATCATCCTGCCTCAGCCTCCCAAAGTGTTGGGATTACAGGCGTGGAACCACTGTGCCCAGACTTTATTCTCTTTTTTTTTTTTTTTCCTTTCTTTTCTTCTTTTTTTTGAGACAAGACCTTGCTCTGCCACCCAGACTGGAGTACAGTGGCACAGTCATGGCTCACTGCAGCCTCTACCTCCTGGGCTCAGGCGAGCCTCTTGCCTTAGCCTCCCAAGTATCTGAGCCTACAGGCATGCACTGCCACACTGGCTAATTTTTTGATTTTTAATAGAGACAAGGTCTACTATGCTGCCCAGGCTGGTATAGATCTTCTGAGCTCAAGTGATCTTCCCATCTCGGTCTGCCAAAGTGCTGGGATTACAGGTGTGTCATCCTGCCTGGCCAGAAATTAACTTCATTGAAAGAAGAGCTTTGATATGCTAGGATTTTTGCATGCGTGCTTTTGCATGCTAAAGTTTCTATGACATTTACAGAGATTTCATGGCCCTTCAGTTGCTCTGTTACCCTTGAGGTGAAATCAAGTATACTGAGACTCTCAGCTAGAATTTGTAACCTAGTGTCTTTGTTTATTGCAACAAACCTTAGCATGTACTGAGACCAAAAATTCTGCCCTTGAAGACCAAGGCAGACTCTGAATTCTTGTGCCACAATGCCTTTGACGGATGCCCAGCCCCAAACCCAGCCTGAACTGCAGGAGGAGGATTTTATGGAGATATACTGACTTTTCCTGCCTGTATATTAACTAAGAGGACTCTTCTGTCACTCTTTTCCTGCAATAAACTAATACTCATGCCGGTGGAGCGCCCTAATCACAAAATTTCTCCCTTGTCACTCTGCTGCCTCCATGGGGGCAGAAACGGGGGATCATTTTATTATCCTTCCACTCACCACTATGTGTAGCTCCCACATCCTTAAAACGCTGAGCACTGTGTCTTCCCAGATGCCTGCAAGGTGGAAATGTATCTCAGAAGTCTGCATGTTCCAGACAGTGTTTATGTGTCATATCAGTTAGGATCCATTCAGCTGGAATCACAGCAGCCACCTCACTGAGCTCCGGCACACTGCCCATCTCTACAGGCCGAAATGTCCTGGGAGAAGCAGCCCGCTCCAGTAGTGCCACCGGGCACCCAAGTGATTTCTTCTTCTGCTCCACTCGGCTCGAAGCCTTCACCCTGCTGTGGGTCTCAGCCTCAGCACATGGCTTGCTGCGCCCAGGTCTCATATCTGCATTCCAGGCAGAAAGATGAATGAAGGGGAAGGCAGTGGATTTCCGCATTTCTGCCTTTTCATCTGGAAGGGACACCCGTCCCAGGAACTTATGCCTATATCGCACTGGCCAGAGCTGTATGTCCTCAGCGACCGCCGCAAGTGGGGGACCGAGAAACTGGGTATTTGGGAAATTGGTTTTTTCAGCTAAGTTAATATTACCATCACCCCCAAACCTGTGGTTCTCCAAGTATCGGGAAGGGGAGACTGGAGCTGTTTCTGTCACGCTTGCTTTCAGGTGATAATCTGAAAATCCCCATCATATATACTGACTCATTGATGACCAATATAAAACCAACATAAAGCTAATAGAAATGATTAGTCTTTACAATTGTCACAGCCTAAATTTTGTGCAGAACAAGAACTGTCTTAAAATGGTGCATTAAGTAAGGGCCCAATAATCCTAATAGCTAATCTGAGAGACTGAAAGCCCTTGAGAGAGCTTGCACAGGAAGATCCATGAAAGAAGGAAAACATCACGGGTAAACAGAGATTTGAGAACTAGGCTGTAGCAATCGGTACCATATTAATGTTGGAGAGAAGAATTCTTCAGTAAAGAAATATTATGCATTACTTTAAACTACTGCTGTTATTTCTAACATTATTGGAACCGTAGAGCTATAAGCTCTACAAGAGTTTATACTTCATTTTCTGTTTCATATATATTTACTTTTAAGCCAACATGGCGAGTTCTCAAAAAATCTCTTTTCCAGCTGGGCATGGAGGCCCACGCCTGTAATCCCAGCTCTTTGGGAGGCCAAGGCGGGTGGATCATCTGAGGTCAGGAGTTCAAGACCAGCCGGGCAATATGGTGAGACTCTGTCTCTGCTAAAAATACAAAAATTAGCCGGGCGTGGTGGTGCATGCCTGTAATCCCAGCTACTCAGAGGCTGAGGAAGGAGAATCACTTGAACCCAGGAGGTGGAGGTTGCAGTGAGCCGAGATTGCACCACTGGACTCCAGCCTGGGCGACAGAGTGAGACTCTGTCTCAAAAATATATATATGTCTTTTCCTTTAAAGGGGTTTATCACATAATTCTGAGAAACATCAGTTTAATATTTATTTAATCAATCCAATTTTTTCACTTTAATATTTTAATTTATTGTTCTGTGTTTCTGACTCTGTATCGTAATAGCACAATTCCATTATTTAACACTGGCGGTGATGCTGCTCATAGTTATCAGTAGTGAGCAAACAATAATCAACTGTCTTCAAATATCTTTGATTCTTTGGTTTTTGTGCTGAACTCCTCACAGAGCTGTTATATCCAATGCCCCGGCCTTGTCTGTGGTCTTAGCCATCATTCATAGGTGCGTGAATATGGTGCATTTGCATTAAGTAAGGACAAATCTCTTCTATCAGGCAGGACTTTTCTCTTAATCAGAGGTTAGGTCTGGACTTCGTGTCCTCATTTCACACCGCGATTGATTAAGAAGAGACTCGTTTATTTGCTACGGTGGCCAGTCCCAGACAGGTGCTCATAGATATTTTTTGAATGACCAGTTGACTACAACCTGTAAATGTGACCCTTTGGCCTGCGTGGTAGGAGAATGCAGGTATAGTCCTCTTAAGAGATAAGTTGTATCCTTCAGCTTACAGGTAGACTGAAATAGACAGACTGGGAGACACAGAGTGTTGAGTTCATGCTAGGCACTTAATAAATATTTTGTTGTTGTTTTTTTTTTTTTTTGAGACGGAGTCTCGCTCTGTGGCCCAGGCTGGAGTGCAGTGGCCGGATCTCAGCTCACTGTAAGCTCCGCCTCCCGGGTTCACGCCATTCTCCTGCCTCAGCCTCCCGAGTAGCTGGGACTACCGGCGCCCGCCACCTCGCCTGGCTAGTTTTTTTTTGTATTTTTTAGTAAAGACGGGGTTTCACCATGTTAGCCAGGATGGTCTCGATCTCCTGACCTCGTGATCCGCCCGTCTCGGCCTCCCAAAGTGCTGGGATTACAGGCTTGAGCCACCGCGCCCAGCCAATACAAAAATTAGCCAGGCGTGGTGGCGTGCGCCTGTAATCCCAGCTACTCCCGAGTTTTTATTGTTGTTGTTGTTAAATAAATGAATGTAGAGATATGACCCAGACAAAAATAGATAAAATTTGCTTTATTGATTTGATCAGACTTAATGAATATCTCTTCTATCTGAGCTGTGTGTAATTCCTCGAAACCTGGCAGATAGGTAAAGGCGATTGTCCGGAGGAAGTAAACAAGGCCAGGCGGAATTAGGAGACACTCAGAGCAGATGGGCATCCTTCTGTGTGTCCTCCACATGCTTATTCCAGGGGCCAGCTGCCTTCCTCATGTGGTGGTCCCAGGGCTCCAGACTGGGATGGAGAAGGGAAGGCCTGAGGACACATCACGCTGCATGGTCCTGCAGAGGTGGACAAGGGGTCTGCTTTTTCTAGAACCAACTGTAGTCACTGCTGGGGTCCTCTTTATGGTATACTCTAGTCCATGACATAGGGATGATAAATAACCCTGGTGGATGGATTTAATGGAGGCAGGAAACATTCTTTCTAGGGAGGAAGAAAATGGTTTGCTTTTAAGACTCTGTTCTTCTCTTAACCCTGGTGGTTTGTAATTTATCACTGCTGCCCAGCCTGTTTCCCCGGCTCTGGGAGTCTGCTAGATATCACTGTTTTCTTCAGATTCTGACACTGATGATTAGAGATTAATACTTTCTTTTTTGTTGTTGTTGTTTTTTGCTTTTTGTTTTTGTTTTTGTTTTTTGAGACAGAGTCTCGCTCTGTCGTCCAGGCTGGAGTGCAGTGGCCGGATCTCAGCTCACTGCAAGCTCTGCCTCCCGGGTTTACGCCATTCTCCTGCCTCAGCCTCCCGAGTAGCTGGGACTACAGGCACCCGCCACCTCGCCCGGCAATCTTTTTTTGTATTTTTTAGTAGAGACGGGGTTTCACCGGGTTAGCCAGGATGGTCTCGATCTCCTGACTTCGTGATCTGCCCGTCTCAGCCTCCCAAAGTGCTGGGATTACAGGCTTGAGCCACTGCACCCAGCTGAGATTAATACTTTCCAAAAATGTGGACATCATTTAGAGGGGAAGAAAAGCCTCTTTTTTTTTTTTTTTGAGATAGAGTCTCGCTCTGTTGCCCAGGCTGGAGTGCAATGGCACCATCTCAGCTCACTGCAACCTCTGCCTCCTGGGTTCAAGCAATTCTCTGCCTCAGCCTCCCGAGTAGCTGGGATTACACGCGCCCACCACCACGGCTGGCTAATTTTTTTGCAGTTTTAGTAGAGATGGAGTTTCACCATCTTGGCCAGGCTGGTCTTGAAGTCCCGACCTCATGATGCACCCACCTTGGCCTCCCAAAGTGCTGGGATTACAGGCGTGAGCCACCGCACCCTGCCAAAAGCAGCCTTAAAAAAACAAAAACAAAAAAAACTTAAACCATTGAAGTTTAAACAAAAATGCATTTTGATAAATGGAACTTGGGAGGAATAGTAATATAGTTCTTATTTTTAAAACTTTTCGAGTTAAAGGTTTAAAAGTCAAAAATCTAGCAAGTTTGGGAGCACAGACTTTCCTCTTCCCACACCCTGAGCCTTTTGAACCACCTCTTGTGTTAAGTCTCTACACGAAATTAAGAAGGTGTTAACACTAGTGACCTCTCTGGGCCAATGCCTGGTTTGAAGGAAGGAAAGCGTCTTTCATTCTAGAGCAAGAGTGACTGACTTTTCATGGTGATCCACATGATCAGAAATCCAATTTTTTATGACAACAGCGAAGTCCAGAAGGTCCTCCCTCTACTGGTGAATATGAACATGACTCATGCCTGAGTCAGGTACATGTGGACGCTTTCATTCCATTTTCCTCTTGTCAGCATCCTTCAGAATGCTCTAGTTTCATGGTGTCATTTTAGCAGAATTAAATGTGAACACCTCAGCTGTATCACGCATTACTTTCGGCTTTACTCACACTTACAAACTGACCCAAAGCTGTGGATTTGCATCTTAGACCGGGGTCAGCCCACAATGGCATCAATGACCGGCAAGAATTAACGAGGCTTTAATGACCTGCCCAAGCTGACTAATCCTGCAAGCCGCCACTTGTTAAAATTTCAATATGCACTTAATCCTTAGGTCAGGATGGCCAGAAAGGACCAGCCCTTCCCCCTCAAGCAGCAGGTCAGAAGCAGAAAACTTGGGTTTTAGATCAGATGTCAGCGAGAAGAAGCCACAATGTGGGGTCCCCCAGATGACCTCCTTTTCTTTCTGATCAGACTGACCAAAAATCACAGATTGCCTTGACCATTCTGTGACCCAGCCAGCTGCAGGTTTTCCCCAGCAGCCTTGAACTCAAACCAGGGCCCTGAACACTCCCAGGCACTAACAAAGGTATCTAGGTTGTTGCCCCAAACATTGAAAGAAACTGGCTCCAGCCCTGAGTCAAATTCCCTAAACCCTCATATAACCTCCATCCCCTGACCCCCTTGCTACAGACATGCCGAGGCAGAACAGCCCTTTTCCCTCCCTGTCGGCAGGGAGGATTGCTGCAGCCCTCTGTAAGTTCCCCTAATAAATGCTTTGAATTGATCACCCTGACATCTGAGCTTCTTTCTTTGGAATCCCAATTGGCCCCATCTCTGGAGGGTTTGGGCCTCTCCCTGGGGGAATTCCCCTGCTGCTGCTTTTGTGATGATTCCAGCTGCGAGTTTGGTGAGATGAAACACGCAGGGCTGGCGTGGAATTCTTTTGTCTCCTCTCATAGAAACAACAGGGACCCTCAGAGACAGAAAAATACCCAGAGCTCCTCTTTGAGAGCTGGTACAAACTGTCTCTTTGGTATAGAGTAGTGGCGGCTCATAAAAACCCACTCGATTTTGGTTTTAAAAAAATCTTCTGCAGAACTTCAGAGTGGGTAGTAATTAACACAAGAATGTGTAATTTCCGATATGAGTGGACCACCCAGAAGGTTTCGAATTCATCCACTCCTGTGGTCCCCAGTTCCTTGTTTTCTTAGGAAAATTTCCTCTTTTACATCCATCTGTACCTAACGGTTCATGCTTTGCTCTGACTCCCACTGTGTCTTACCATGTTTGTGTTCTTTTGTTTCTCACTCTCAGCCTCTCTTCCCTTTCTCTCCTTCCTGTCTCTCACAGCGTCCTCTGTCCCCAATGCTTTCTGCATCTTTTGTGCCAGGTGCTCTTTTCCTTTCTCTCCACTTCTGTCTTTCCAGGAGCCTTTGCAGAGCTCTCTCTGTGTTGGCTTCCTCATGCCTGACGATTTCTTGGGCCTCTGTGCCTTAGCTCTCCATACCCGCCCTTCATCCTCAGATGGCTTTGTTCCCGTGATGCCCTGAATATTCCCAGAACAAATACTCATCACAATGAAGCCCAATCCAACAAAGAGTGCAACAGTAACCGTGGTTGCAGTCAGGGATATGAGGATAATTCCCATGGTGTCAGGAGCCTGGTAGGTTTCACTGCTGTGACTGAAGTAGTTCGCAGAAGGTGAATGTCACCATGTTTAGTGATTTCATCTTCTGTGGTCCAAGAGCCTGCAGTGACAGAGTCCTCGGTGGTCCCTGGGTCTGCAGTGACGGAGTCCTCGGTGGTCCCTGGGTCTGCAGGGACGGAGTCCTCGGTGGTCCCTGGGTCTGCAGTGATGTGGTCCTCAGTGGTCCTTCCATCTGCAGTTACATCCATTTTCTCTTATTCTTGAGTCTTTAGGGCTGGTCTCTGGGTGCTTAGTGGAAATGCTTTGACTTAGTCCTACTAAAAAGTAATTCCATTGAATGTGAATTGTTGATGGCCTATCCTCATCTGATCTGCTCAGTATTTTCATAACTATCCTCACTTCCAAATGACACATCTCCTCAGGTAATGTGGTGAGATTTATTCGAGTTAGGGATCATTTGGCACTTTTGGTTCAATTCCGGTAAAACATATTCCACAAAGAATCCTCTTGCACTACAATATGGATTATCTTTGCTGAGCCATGCCCTTCGAAGGCCTGCTCACCCAGCTTTGACTCTGTCTTTTCCAGGTCTGGTCTCTTTCCATGGGACACTAAACCTGACTCTTTCTCGAGCTCACTCCTCTCTGAGTTGGTGTTTCAGCAACTGGGGTATTCTGGCTCCATGTTCATGGGTGTCTCTTCTCATCCAGTTGTGCCTGGGAGTTCAGCAAGCCAATGAGGCAGAAGCTGTGATTCGATTGGGAATTACGCTCAGGTCATGCTTAGTGTGCTTGATTAAGAAAATGAGACAGCTGGCCGGGCGCTCCATCTCAAAAAGAAAAAAAAAAAAAAAAAAGAGAATGAGACAGCTTCTGGGGTCAGATCTGGGGCTAACGTGGTAAGGCTTGGGAGGCAGGGAAGATTCAAGGTGGTATGGGGGGCAGGTTTGGGGAGGAGTCATGAGGAGTGTGGGTGTGATCTAGTTGGACTGAGAGAGCAACACTGAGTGGGTACAAGTACAAAGAAGGAGATGAGTCCACTCTTCGTCTCCAGCCCTCACTGCCACAGGCAGTCTTCAGAACTTGGGGGAGTATTTATTCTTAGGAATACATGTAGCCTCGTGGCATAAATTTTGAAATTTTGGGACTCTGCAAATCTAGTCATCTCTCCTACTGCTGATGCTCCACATTTTCTAATAGGTTAAATCTTCCTTCCTTTCTTCCTTCCTTTGTTCCTTCCTTCCTTTCCCTCTCTCTCTCTCTTTTTTTTTTTTCTTGAGAAGGAGTCTCCCTCTGTCTTGCAGGCTGGGTGCATTAATGGCGTGATCTCCGCTCACTGCAACCTCCGCCTCCCGGGTTCAAGCGATTCTCCTGCCTCAGTTTCTCAAGTAGCTGGGATTACAGGCGTGCATCCACCAGACCTGACTACGTTTTGTATTTACTAGCCAAACTTCAGGATTTCATCATGCTGGCGAGATGGCCTGACACCTGACCTCAGAGGATCCACCCGCCTCAGCCTCCCAAAGTGCTGAGATTACAGGCATGGTTCTGCACTGTTACTTTTTTTTCTTTTTTCTTCTCTTTTTTTTTTTTTTTTTTTTTTGAGACGGAGTCTTGCTCTGTGGCCCAGGCTGCAGGTGCAGGCGTGATCTCACTCACTTTTTTTTTTTTTTTTTTTGAGACGGAGTCTCGCTCTGTGGCCCAGGCTGGAGTGCAGAGGCGTGATCTCACTCACTGCAAGCTCCGCCTCCCGGGTTCACGCCATTCTCCTGCCTCCGTCTCCCGAGTAGCTGGGACTACAGGCACCCACAACCACGCCCGGCTAATTTTTTTGTATTTTTAGTAGAGACAGGGTTTCACCGTGTTAGCCAGGATGGTCTTGATCTCCTGACCTTGTGATCCACCTGCCTCTGCCTTCCAAAGTGCTGGGATTACAGGCGTGAGTAACCGCACCTTTTTTTTTTTTTTTTTTTTTTTGGACACAGGGTCTTGTTCTGGTTCAGGCTAGAGTTCGGGTTCAGTAGCGCAAACATGGCTCAATGCATCCTTGACCTCCTGGCCTCAAGTGATCCTCCCACCTCAGCCTCCCGAGTAGATAAGACTATAGGCATGGATTACCATGCCTGGCTGATTTGTTTGGTTTTTGTAGAGATAGTGTCTCACCATGTTACCCAGGCTTGTCTCAAACTCCTGGACTCAAGGGATCCTACTGCTTCCCAGCCTCCCAAAGTACTAAGTGCTGGCATTACAGGAGTGCCAAATCTTTCATTTCTCAAGGAAAGTTGAAACAAAGAAACTGAGATAAAATGCACAAGATCAAAAGCAGAACATTTCCTTAAAAGGGGATATGAGAAAGACGCTGGGGTCCCTGCTTCCCTGTGGCAGGTGATTGAAGGCAGATAGCAGGGTCCAGAGCTTCCCGAGGTTCACTCACCTATTCCGTACCTTAGCTCAGGACTGGCCCTGTCTGAGTCCCAAGAGGTTCCTTCTCCAGGCACCCTGACTCCATCTCTCCAGGCCCTGGAAACTTTTGCATCCTTCTCACCAAAATTAACTCCTCCACCCCGTTCTGAACACCTCAGGAGAAGCTGGAGCAGCAGAAGGGGGGATGTAGCCGGGCATTTTCTTCTCATCTCAAGAGAATCCACACAGTGCTAGCCAGGACAACTTTTCCTCCCTCCCTCTCTCAACCTTTTTCCACCCTGCCCTTCTCCTTCCGCCCACAGTGGCTGTGGGTTTAGATGTGCTTTGCCGAGGGAAGCCAGGGCTCCAGGTCTTACTTCTTGGAGGGAGGAGCAGTTCTCGATGACCCCCTGTCACTCAAAGAAGTGGTCGGGCTGGGCAGAAGAGGCTGTCACGAGGGGGACAGGGGCTCTCAGCTTTGGACTGGAGCCCGAAGTCGAGCAGTCACAGGGGCTCAAGCCTGTCAGTGTGAGTGCGCTGCTTTCTGATGTGGAGCCTAGTTGAAAACAATCCTCCACCTGGTGTTTCAGTGCTCAGGGAGGGCCTCGGCCTTCCTTCCCACAGGTGGCCACAGTAAAGTCAGGATGACCAAGGAGGGCATAGGCCAGGCCTGCCTGGGGGATGATGCTTGGCAAGAGGAGAGCTGGGTGTCAGAAGGTAGAGGACATTTGGTAAGGACCAAGAGGAGGTCCCCCAACAGAAGGAGAGGGACACTCATAAGGGGGCTATAAACACCCAATCTCTCTCTCTCTTAAAGCCCCCCTCTTCGCTCAATCATCCACCCAAATCCTCTTCCTTGGCTTCTCTCCAGCCCACAGATCTCTCTCGTTGCTCCCCCTACTCGAGTGCCCTCACCCCAGTGAGCTTTCTCAATTACGGCATGTATTAATCTGTTTTCACGCTGCTAATAAAGACATACCCAAGACTGGGAAGAAAAGAGGTTTAATTGGACTTACAGTTCCACATGGCTGGGGAGGCCTCAGAATCATGGAAGGAGGCAAAAGGCAGTTCTTACCTGGTGGCGGCAACAGAAAATGAGAAAGAAGCAAAAGCGGAAACCCCTGATAAACCTATCAGATCTCTTGAGACTTATTCACTATCACGAGAACAGCAAGGGAAAGACTGGCCCCCATGATTCAATTACCTCCCCCTGGGTCCCTCCCACAACACGAGGGGAATTCTGGGAGCTACAATTCAAGTTGAGATTTGGATGGGGACACAGCCAAGCCATTTCACTGCACAAAATTAGTCTGCTTGTGGTGAGGTCAGGCCTGAATGAGAATACCCACATCTTTTCCTTCTTCTCTGACCCTCATCCCTGCCTCGCCCGCCCACTCTTTAGAAGATCATTGTTGGTTCCCATCTTCATTCAGAGGTGTCTCTCACCATTTGTGGGAGCCTCTTTCTTTCCCAGTGTCCTTCTAACTAAAAGAGGAGTGTGAAATTGCAGGTGGGCCAGGAACTGTCCCCCTCTTAGAAGGCAGCTGATTTCCTGAAAATCAATTTAATGAATGGCTAATTTACCAAATTTAATTGATTATGTTAACTACTAGTATTATTTGAATGTATTAAATATTTCCTTCCTTCCTTCCTTCCTTCCTTCCTTCCTTCCTTCCTTCCTTCTAATCTCCTCCTGTAAAACCCTCTCTCTCATCTCTTCCCATCTCCCATCTCAAATCGCTCAAACTCTCCTCTCAAAATCAATTCTAATCAATTTAATAGATCGCTAATTACAATTAGTGGTCATATTGCTTCTACTAATGTTGAATGTCTTCAACGCCAGCCTTCCAACCTTCCTTCCTTCCCTTCCTTCCCTTCCTTCCTTCCTTCCAGCTATGCGTTTCTCTCTCTCTCTTTCTTTCGCAGCAAAGTCTTACTATATTACCATATTGGAAATGCAATGGTGCCTATCACTCAGCTCCTCACCCAGCCTTGATCTCCCAGACTCAAGTGATCAACCTCCACCTCAGCCTCCTGATGGAGATGGACTATCGTGCACCACCACACCAGCCAGTGATTATTTTCATTTTTAGTAAAGACAGAGTCACTATGTTGCCCAGGCTGGTCTCAAACTCCTGAGCTGAAAGATCCTCCTCATCAGCCTCCCAAAGTGCTGGGATTACAGTGGCAAACCACCCACCTTTTAGCAACATTTTCAAACAATATTTAAACATTCAAAGTATTTGTATATATTTAGTATAACTCATGAATAGATTTCAAAAGAGTATAGTAAGAAAGATATGATTTTCTAGTCAAGAGTATAATTTGCATATGATAAATTCACCCTTTTTCATGTACAAGTCAATTCTTTTGGTTTAATAGTTTAGTTTTAGAAATTTTTAAAACTTCATTTGAGATAATTTGAGCTTACAGAGAATTACAAAAGTAGTTACAGAGTTCCCATATATTTTTTTCCCTAGCTTTTCCTCATGTCAATATCTTATATAGTACAATTCTGTTATAGAAACTGAGAAATTATATATACAATTATAGAAGCTAAGAAGTTATTGTTGGCACAATACTTTGTTGTTGTTGTTGTTGTTGCTGCTGCTGCTGCCCAGGCTGGAGTGCAATGGCATGACCTCAGCTCACAGCAACCTCCCCAGTTCAAGTAATTCCTCTGCCTCAGCCTCCTGAGTAGCTGGGATTGCAGGTGTGTAATCCTAATGGTGATAGATTAGATTCCTTCTACATTTATTAATTGAAATTCTTCTGTAGAAAAGTTATTGCCCTTTCCCCATTTTATTTATTCAACTATTTGTTTATATCAGTAGGGACTCATAAATGTTTATTTGTTCTGTGAGTTATGATCCAGCGTACTATAGCTATTTATTTTGTTGCTCAAACTTTGGCCACTGGGAGCTCTTTCAGATGGGCTCCGAGTGCCGTTTTTAATATCCTCCATCCTTTTTTGTTTGTTTTATTTTTGAGACAAGACTTCACTGCTTTGCTTCCTAGGCTGAATGACGGTGGCCCATCCCCTTTGCAGCCTCAGACTCCTGGGTTCAAGGATCCTCCTGCCTCAGCCTCCTACAAGTAGCGAGACCAGTGATGCTGTCCACTGGCTGTCCTCTCCATTGCTATTTTGTTTTGTTTTTGAGACAAGTCTCATTCCTGTTTACTTATGCTATAGTTCAGTGGTACAATATTGGCTCACTGTAGTGTATCACAGACTCAACTAATCCTCCCATCACAGCCTTCCAAGTAGCTGGGACAACAGGTGTGTGTCACCATACCCAGCTAATTTTTTTTTTTAGTAGAGACAAAGTTTTGTTATGTGCTCAGGCTGGTCTCCCAACTTCTGGGCTCAAGCAATCCACTTGCCTTGGCCTCCCGGAGTGCTGGGATTACAGGCTCAAGCCATTGTGCCCAGCCTTTCCATCCGTGGGTTTGTGTGTGTGTGTGTATGTGTGTGATGGAGTTTCGCTCTTGTTGCCTAGGCTGGAGCACAATGGTGCGATCTCAGTTCACTGCAATCTCTGCTTCCAGGGTTCAAGCCTCAGCCTCCCAAGTAGCTGGGATTACAGGCACGCACTACCATGCCCAACTAATTTTGTATTATTTTAGTAGAGATAGAGTTTCAATGTCGGTCAGGCTGGTCTCAACTCCACGAACCTCAGGTGATCCCCTGCCTTGGCCTCCCAAAGTGTTGGGATTACAGGCGTGAGCCACCTGTGCCCAGCCACTCTCCATCCCTTTTAAAAACACTTTCTTGCGTTCATGGTATTACAAGATGCTTCATGCTCATTTGCATTTCCTCCCATCCAGGCCTTGGAATCAACTATTTCTCCACAGAGCTCTGGCTCTTTGTATTAGAGAATAATATTTAGAAACCAAGATTTGGGTACTAGGTGTGCTCATTCATAATGGGTGTCACTGCTTCTTGCCCCCACGGAAGTTAGAGCTAGGAAATGTATGTATGTATGTATACTAACTCATGGATAAACACATGTCTGTATTTATTTCTGTAATTGTTGTTCCTTCCTTCCTTCCTTCCTTCCTTCCTTCCTTCCTTCCTTCCTTCCTTCCTTCGTTTCTCTCTCTCTCTCTTTCTTTCTTTTTGACAGAGTCTTACTGTATTGCCCATGTTGGAGTGCAATGGTGCTATCATGGCTCACTGCAGCCTTGATCTCCCAGACTCAAGTGATCCTTCCACCTCAGCCTCCTGAGTAGATGGGACTATACGTGTGCACCACCACACCCAGCTGATTGTTTTTTCATTTTTAGTAAAGACAGAGTCACTATGTTGCCCAGGCTGGTCTCAAACTCCTGAGCTGAAGAGATCCTCCCTCATCAGCCTCCCAAAGTGCTGGGATTACAGGTGTGAGCCACTTCGCCCAGCAACATTTTCAAACATAGTATTTAAACACATTCAAAAGTATTTGTATATATTTAGTATAACTCATGAATAGATTTCAAAAGAGTATAGTAAGGAAAAGATATGATTTTCTAAGTCAAGAGGTATAATTTGCATATGATAAAATTCACCCTTTTTCATGTACAAGTCAATAGAATTATTTTGGTTTGGTTTGGTTTTAGAATTTTTAAAACTTCATTTTGAGATAATTTTAGACTTACAGAGAATTACAAAAGTAGTTACAGAGTTCCCATATATTTTTCCCCTAGCTTTTCCTCATGTCAATATCTTATATAGTACAATTACATTTATAGAAACTGAGAAATTATATATACAATTATAGAAGCTAAGAAGTTATTGTTGGCACAATACTTTGTTGTTGTTGTTGTTGTTGCTGCTGCTGCTGCCCAGGCTGGAGTGCAATGGCATGACCTCAGCTCACAGCAACCTCCACCCCCCAGGTTCAAGTAATTCTACTGCCTCAGCCTCCTGAGTAGCTGGGATTGCAGGTGTGTAATCCTAATGGTGATAGATTAGATTCCTTCTACATTTATTAATTGAAATTCTTCTGTAAGAAAAAGTTGTGCCCTTTCCCCATTTTATTTATTCAACTATTTGTTTATATCAGTAGGGACTCATAAATGTTTATTTTGTTCTGTGAGTTATGATCCAATACTATCGCTATTTATTTTGTTGCTCAAACTTTGGCCACTGGGAGCTCTTTCAGATGGGCTCCAGTGCCGTTTTAATATCCTCCATCCTTTTTTTGTTTTGTTTTATTTTTGAGACAAGACTTCACTGTGCTTCCTAGGCTGAATTACGG